ACATTTGCACAGAAGAAGAGGAAAGTGAACTCTCCATTATTTTCTCGACATTTTGGCAGCACTTGAATGGTAAAAAAAAATTAAATAAAAAATGTGAATTAAAACCTTCATAACTACTACCATAACAATGTGATCATGCCTCTAAGTCATCCAGTGCTGTGCTGGTCATCCAAATGGTTCCTGAGCTGACAAATCAGATAATTTTTATACAGTCAAGCCAGATTGAAACTTGTCTGATATTTCCACTTAAGAACTTACTCATTTATTCAGAATTTATTTCCAATTTATTTATCTCTCATTGTCTTAAGTCATATATGTCCATGTCCCAGAATGGACTGAGCACATCTTGTGTCTCACAATCACTACTCTCTTTTTTTCAATTTAAAAGAAACCACTTTTATGACCACACAAGATCTTGCATGTCATGTGAAACTTTTTAAAAACAAAAGGTTACAAAACCCAAAGTAATTATATAGGTTTTAGTAGTGTTTTTAATTTTTTTACTGCTATACCAGATATATATATATTTACTTATATATACTTGCCTCTAAAAATTTCTAAAAATAAAACGAACATGAAAACCAATTAGGTTCATAAAAGAAGAATTGGTTAAAGGAAGGGATATTAAACGACAGAGTAAATTAAAAAAAAAAATAGAAAATAGCCTATTGCCAAAATATATGTTGCTCTGAGGTGGTTCATTTCTGGAGTTGGTCACTGATGCAGTCCTTGAGGATGCTGAGCAGTCCTGTAAATTGCTGAACCCATTAAACACTAATTTCCACAGGCACCAAAAATATTCAAAACACAGTAACTTCCTGGATTATATGTGAATGGGTGGTTACTGGATCAGAAGAATCAGCCTCAGGGCACCATATACATTATTACAAAATGTTTAAAAAAAGGAAAAGGAACAACAAAATAAAGAGATTACATTTATTTCCAGAATTTAATACTGAAATCAAGGTGGTATGTAACTAGAAAGTCCAACCCACTCTCTTGAAAAAAATGGGTCAGATATAAACATGTTATATACTAGAACTTGCTGGCCTTTGGAATTAGTCTAAATGTATATTGCTAGACTATCAGAATGATGCGAGTTGTTTCCACAGCATGAGGCAATTATATATGCAAACCTGTAAGAACGTTTAGTTCATCTTGAGTACATTATTTTAGGTATTCACATTCTTTCAAGTCGTCTTTTACATTGATCAATTAAGATGGCTGTACTCGTGCAGTGACAACTGCAACAAGGTGTGATTTTACATTAGTGCTAGCAATTTACACAGTTTCAGATCACCCCTCAAACACGGCTGAGTTTCCTGAGTTTAAGAAGTTTCTATAGTGGGAATTTTCACAGATGCCATTTCAATTGTGCTTGGAATCCCATTGAAAACAAAGTCTTGTTAGCATCGTAGCAGAGCTGTAGATTTCCCAGGATCACTGACAGTGTTAGATAAAAAGTACAGGTGGAATGGGACAATTCAGAATGTGGAAAAAAATATTAAGAAAAAGAATCTAAAATACTGAATTTGGATTACAGAAGTTTACACAAAACTAAAGAAGTAGGAATACTTCATTAGAATCAAAACAATAAAAGTAATAAAAATCTAAGAAATTTCCCTGGACACTCTGCAGTATTCACTGTTTCATGTTGAAAACGGGAAATCAAGCCCAGAAATATCTTGAAACTGTAGTACATTAATGACTTGCACAAACAAACCACAAAAAAAAGTGGAAAAGACCAGAAACAGACAATACTTAGTACACAAAGAGTCTGCTGTGCAGTACTAGAAGACATCAAAGATGAGCCTTTTTTCTCTAGTGAGTAGAGCATGAAAAACTAAGTAGTTACAGTGCTAGTTCTTGACTGTGGTGTGTACTTTTCCTTAAGATCACTACTTGATCTCCAGAATATTTTCAAGACAGCTGTGTGAATTACTAAAATGACAGTGTTCTTCACAGCTGAAAGCTCAGCAGTGATCGGTTACAAGTAATGCTGTCAAATTTAACACTGTCTATACAGTGTTAAATACGGGGTTAAATACAGGGACATCTTTTATGGTCACAGAAGTACATTTGAGCTATTTTCTGATCGCTTCACAATCGAGTACATTTTGCAGTTATTAGGGAAAGCTATTCTAAATGATTGGTCTTTTACACTCCTCAGATAGTATACTTATCTACACCAGTACTACTGTGAATGGAAATAGTGGGTGAATGGTAAATACTTGAGCTGAAAGTCTAAATCCAAACTTTTCTGGTAAAAAAAAAAAAACCAAAACCAAACAAACAAAAAAAAAAACCCCAACCCAAAACCAAATTAGAGACAGCTTTTAAAAATCTGCTCCATGAACTGTAATTATACTTTGAGAAACGTCTCAATGGGACAGTGCAGTTCTGTGCTGACTGACCCTCCCTGTCAGCTCAGGTTCCTTCAGTTCACAGATAGAAAGATCCATCGCCCGCTGAGAACCGAGCAAAATCAGTCTGAAATTTAAGGGTCAGGCTAAGGTCCTTCTGCTCCCACATTATCACATCACTCCTCCATTTTTCTGTCCAGTAATGCAGTCATGAGATTCTCATAGTTTAACATACAATCAGGAAAGAATTTTAAGGTGAATCAGCCTTAAAACTATTTTGATTGTGTTCACTCTTTGAGATGGTGGTGTAGAATTTGCAGCTTTATAAAGAAATTTGAAGTCTTTAATGAGGGCTAATAGACTCTGTATGCTTGAAGATATTCTGCCATCTTAAAATAATACATTTGTTTTCTATATTTGGTTGAAATGCATTTGTAATAGATATTACTATGCTTACCAAATAGACTAGAACCAAAAATTTAAAAACTATGTACATCACTGTTTCTGAACAGCAGCTACTGCCACTAATTGATGTTGTCTATGCCAATGCTAATATGCTCTGAAGGAAGACCTGTATGGACACAGTATCCTTTGGCAGCAGCCTTATCCACTCATTTCTGCCCTACCATGGCCCACACTTTTGCCAATACTTTGTGCTCAGCATCTCATCCAGCCAACTGTGAAGTCCTCAAACTCTTGTGGAAGCACAGATCACATAGCTATGGGGGTAAGAAGGGCTGTGGGCAGAGGCTGCTTAAGCTCACAGAGATGACAAAAGAAATCCTCATCAAACCATGGCCTCAATCAAGAGCAGCCTGACAAATCCATGCTCCTAGTAGGTGGTCTGCTGATCTGAACAATGCACTGAAAGACAAAAACTGTTTTTGTCACAGATGTTACTTGTGACAAATGATTTTGTGACAGATGTTACTTGAGAATAATGCATATTCTTCTTTTTTTTCCCCTCATCCTGGAATGCCTGGAACAGATCACAGTTTTTGCAAATACAATTTCTATTCCATGTTCCTGGGCAACTTTATTATCATGGTATTCACAGTTCCAAAATCAAGGTACTGTCTAAATGGAGTAAAGGGTATTGTTTCTGCTATTGACTATCCTAAGAACTGGGTTCCTGGCATGAACCACTTTGGAAAATAAGTTTTAAAATGTGTTTTCTCTGAAAAACTGTTTCAATTAAATGGCAATGATAGCCACGGGATGGATTTGCTTCCCCAAAATACAACAGAGATATCGCAACTTAAATATACACCACTGAAGAGTATTTATTACAATTTAGAAGTATTTTGAAAGATGATGCATATTAAATATCCCTACTGAAAAGAAACCATTTGAGTAAGCAATAAAATCCACGGGGGCAAAAAAAGATGTCTAGCAAGTAGCTTTCTGAAACAAATTTAAGAGAAAAAGAACGTTATTAGCAGGCTCATAAACTGTGACTGCTGTAGAAAAACATGCAAGCTAAATATCTTCAAAGAATACCAAGCAACTATTTATATCTACAGTTTTCTCTGATGAATCTGTTCTTTGATACAGTGAAAATATATGAATGTTGGGCATCTCCTGCATCATGGGTATTTCTGGATAACTCAGTTCTCAGAATGATAAAAGAGGTAAGATCTTCAGCAGGTGGAATACGCTGACTTCACCTACTGAGTCTGTGTGCTCCCTGAGCATTTTCAGTGGCTGAGTTGGATCCAAGTCCCACCTTCTTCAGTCTCCCTTTTTGAGGTCTGAATTAGCATTAAAAGGGAAGAGGCACTTTCCTCTGAAATTTTATTTTGACTAGTTAAACAAAGAAACATGTAAGTATGGGAAGCACCTGCACATTTACTAGAGAACCGGTATGTATTTTGTTATCTTTCATTTATCATTTTTGTGATACAGCTTTCCTTGTTAAAACCAGAAAGTCAGATAGAAAACAGGCAAAAATCAGTATTTCCCTACTTTTTTCTTGGAAAGGGATCTTTCTGTTGTCCAAAGACCTATACGTGTAATGGCCATCAGACAAAATTTTGGTGAAAAGATGGAATTTTCCAAGTACTTAAAGAGTAATTCAAATTTCAAAACAATTACTGCAGGATGGGAAAAGCAAAAGGAATAGAAAAGAACAAACATTCTGTTTTCTACAGCATGGAAAGCCTTACTTGCTCTGTATACCCTTCTTCTGCTACCTCATGAGATATGAATGCTAACATTGCTCTAAAAACCAAACTTCCCACAGGAAAAAAAATCATTATTTGTTAAACTGAGCCACTGAAACAACTTACAGAAGCTTGAATTATCTTGGTCAAGTTACCTACAAAAATCACTGGGCTTCAAGTAAAATAGTAACAGAGGCTTAATTCCTTTTTCATACATAAAATGTTTTAAATATTTTCTGCACATATATAGAAAAATATAATTCTCATTGTCTCACTATGCTGTGTGCATATGCAATTATACCGGTATATAGGTTCATAATAACAGCTTGTACAGACATCTATATCAATGTTTTGGTCTTTGATTCCAGGATAAAACATACTTTTCTAAAAAAGGATTTGGGGGGATAAAGTTTACATTTTCTGTATTTCTTGATGACAGCAATTACTTTTTAGTGCATGAACAGTTGCTACTTACATTAACTTCTGTTATAGCAATATCAACGACGCTACCAACAACAATTAAGGCATCAAAAGTGTTCCATGCATCAGTGAAATAGTGCTGTTAGGACAAGCATTCAGCAGAAAGAGAGCAAGAGAAAAACACAAACAGAAAAAGAGAAGAAAAGGACAGTGTTATAACACAGAAACACTCTAGGCTTCTCTGATGTACCACTATACAGTCTAATCTTTCCCTTTCATAGCTAAAAAAAATTGGTAGAAAAAAAAGGCTATTTATTTCCCATATCAACATAATTGACCTATGACTGGTCTGTACTCAAACTTTAGAAACATCAGATCAAAATCTGTGACTTGTCCAGATGATGGAAATAGTGGGGAGACAGAGAAAGAGAAATAGGGACCGGGGAAAGTAAGCTGGGGTATACTCACATCAGCTTCACTGAGAACGACGTCTACTATGCTGCCAATAACGATGAGGGAGTCAAACGTATTCCAGGCATCACTAAAATAGCCCTGAACAGAGCAGGCAGGGTGCAAACGTTTGTGATTACACATGAAATGTCAAATATTTGCATACTTCTGTTTAGTTTTGCATAAACAGAAATTAGTTAAACAAAACCTGTGGTCTAATGAGAAAACAAAACAAAACAAACAATATTGCCTACTGAAGGAAAAGCAACATATATGTGCGTGTGTGTATATATATACTTTATATATATACATGTACAGACACACACACAGACACACACACGCACACACACACGCAGTACACATGCATAATACACCATCGTATAAGCACAATGTTGGCAAGCAAGCCATCATCCAAAACTGGTTTTGGACTTCTAGCAAGGCTGAAAAACTCTAAGATATATACCCTAACAAGCACGACAAAATCCCTTTAATAATATTTCTACGAGACCAAGCCAATTGAAACCTCCTTAACATTAATGACTTTATGATAGTCCCATCTAAGTGACTGGTAAAAATATTCAAAGGGTCAAAGCTCATCACTAGTTAATCATGCACAATTATTAACATGGAACTGTGCATAAATATTAAAGAACTGACTTAATCTTCCATTAATAAACTAGGTTTAATATAGGAACTCACACTACGTTTGCAGTCAGGGCCTGATTCTGTAACCAGTGAAGTCAGTGCTAGGAACCATAGCAACTTGAACAATTTCTTAATGCTTCTAATGTAGCCAGTCCAACATCTGAAAACCCATTTTCATAAACTGCTTAGTCATCCTTCTGATATTTTATGGCTTTAAATATATTTCGTATGTGTATGTTTCTGGCAAACTGCTGCAAATGGTTATAAAGTGCTATCATATAATCAACTGTCCATTGGCATCAAAACTGCATGTTTGAGCAAGAAGTTATTTCAGAAGAAACCTTGAGGTAAGTTCCAGGATCAATCCATCACTGGGAACGAATCAAGATGTTGAAGGCAACTCTATGGAGACAAGATATGTAGGTTTTCTGCGATATGTGGATTTTGCCTAGTTATTACAGAAATCCAGAATTGCAAAAATTATTGAACTTGCCCTTTTTCTCTTTCAGATATGTTAATTTATCAGCCAACCATGACTAAGCCATGTGCATTACATGACAAAGGCTGAAATGTACATTTTGTACACGTACATTCTGCTTTCCCAGTAATTAATTTAAAAATACTAACTTGTCAGCCACTACTGAAGCTCTAAAAAAATTAATTTAGTAAAAAGTTTAAAATGACAAGCGTGCTAATCCAACCTTATGTCTACTTACACTTATTATTACACTGTTTACTATAAGATAATGTTTCAGCTGAGTAGTTTAAGTTGTTACATGTGTTGTTAGCACAGAAAAGCAAAATCAGCTACAAAATTTTTTAGAACTGGACAATATTTTTCTCAAGATTTTAAACTGTTAGAATTTCTAGTAACTTCACAGTTTAAAGGTTACACTCAAGTGCATTACTATTTGACAAAAAGCTAATTTCATGTGGAAATTTGCTCTTGGAGACTATGAGAGAGCTGTTACAGAAGACAACAGCTCTACAGCGTATTCTAGTAGAGTAAGCACTGAGCAGAGTCAGGAAAGCCTCATTATGTTTCTAATGCTCTTCTCTTTTAGCTCTTTTAAAACACAAAGTACTATAATCATTCCCTTGTTTAAGGAAGGGGCTGTAAGAGGAAAACAGATCAGAGTACGATTATCACTACAGCCCTTTGTGCCACACGCTTTGGTTCTTTGGGATTAATCATCAATTCCAGTCTTGGGGAAAAAGCCAATGTTCATGGATTTGGCCTCCTGAACAAATGCATCCATATCTGAGAGCTCCTGCACAATTCCCAATTGCTCCTTCCTTACTCATCCCACTTCACAAGAACAAGCCATTCCAAAGTTTCTAGTAAACATCATGCTGAACCACCTCAATGATACTGAAATTTATAATCCTAAAGAACTAAAGAAGGGGAGCTACTTTTACAATGTTCTTCCTGACCATTCATATTCCTTATTTCTCTTATTTAAAAGAAGTATCTTTCTTGATTTTAAAATAGCAATATTTATATTTATATACATAAAATAAGAGACTATTGGCAAACAGCAAACAGATAATCAGCACAATCCTGAGGTGTGCTATCCACCTTTCTCTACAACAGGAACCAAAAAAGGTCCTCCAAATAAAGGTTAGTTTCAGCTATAGAAAAAGTGACTTTAGTAGACATGCTACAATATAAGGCACTGAAATAACAAATTCACATTTTGATTCAATACAGCTAAAAAACTTTACACATTTATTTTATGAAACCTTTTCCATCAGTATAGACAAATATTGTTCAAAGTAGTATGTAAAGCAAAAGCATACAAATAAACAAAAAAACTAAGAGAAAATAAAGATGGTTTTGGAAAAGGGAGGAATGGACAAGTCACAGCAAATAAACATCATGCAAATAAGTTGTTTTCACCACTGCAATGACCCAAGATCAATTCACTTACTAGCCATCTTTCCTTTTTTCTTACAAAAATCTGATGTAAAACGACATGGAAAATCATTACAAGTTTAAGTAACAGCTAGCTATCATGAACCTGTACATACGGTATGTGTTGATGTATTATTTTAGATTTCATAGCTGTATTTTGGTTTGTACTGTACTAAACCATGCTACGTAACAGATTTTAGCAAATGTGGAGAACAATGTGAAGAAAAAATGCCTGGTCTTTTAACTTAAATTATGAAAAATTTGTTCATTGAGAAATGCTGAAGGATAAAATCACAAATCTTGGGGAATAAGTAGGCATAGAGAAATAACACAAAATATGTTTCTGTAGGTCTACCACAAATATTTTAGTCCTTTTAGTGCTCTGTTGAAAAGTTTAGGGCCTCATTCTGCAAAGTACTGTGTGTTCCAATCTCCCAGTCAAGAAGTGTGCCAGACACTCAGCATCACCTTTAATATCTATCACTTATCCAAGTTCTATATATTTCAGAGCTGGAAGGCAGTCTGCAGTACACTGGTTTTAAACAACACAATATCATAGTAAGAGTATCAATAATTTATAGTAGCCTTAATTTTGCACAACCAGCGAAACCAAAAGATCACAGTTTTCACAGGATTTTTGTCAACATATTAAGGGGACACTGTCAAGCAGATGAGATAAAAACTAACATTTTTATCTATTCTTATGTTTACAGAGTGAGTAATGGACTTTTTATTTGACACTGAGCATCTTTGAAATAATTTTTAAAATGCACAAAATTAATAAACAAAACTGTCCATTCTTCCAGACTAGACTAAGAAACCCACCAGTGATGCAAACGTAGAGGAAATAAATCAGTCTTTCCTCAAGGACCCTAAAGCAAAACATTAAGTTGGGTTTCAGATTGTTCCTACTATTATTAAATCTTAATATGAGTTAAAGCAATTTGTTGTTTTAAGCATGTGTCTAGTTTAAAATTTAGATTACTAAAAGACATTCACATTCTGCTTAAGACTGCTAGCTGATTTGCAATTATTAATGAACTATGTAATGTATGTTGCCAATAGGTGTTGTGTTAAAGAGTATCTGACAATTTAAAAAGTTACAATCTTCAAAGAATAACAGGAACAACCTTAAAGATATTTAACTCCCTTCCCTTCCTGCTAATTAATCGCTGCCAAAAGTCTGATTAATATCATGGCATTTTAACCTTGTCCTGCTAATTAACAAGTTTAACGTGTTCTGCATCTATAGTGGAATGAAATTTGGGAAACGAGGGCCTTTCACTGACAGTGTCTGCCCTTCAAACTCTCAGGGTTCAGATCCAGGGATCTCTCACAGTAAAAGCATCCATCAGATAGAAAGCATGTTGCAACAGAGTTAAAACTCAAATTGTACAAAGTCTTAGAGACCAGTATTAAGACATTGCATTTGATAACGAGCAGGAAGTCCATAATACAAATGGAGCACTGTGATTTATACACTCATGAGCAGACCACTATATTTTGCATTAGCTGTGATTTCTGACTACAGTCACAAGTGCATGGAGAACCATACAAGGATTCACAATCTTTTTTCAAAGAGCAGATGATAAAATGCAGCAAAGTCTTCCGAAACTTCAGTGTGAAACAAGGATATAGAACAGGAAATACAAATCAGGAAACACAATCAGCATACTCATGACACTCTGGTCCACATATCTGAGCTATCTCCTCTGGGGCCTCATATTGTGTTATTTTTAATGTGAAATCCTTAGCATTTAAATAAGATAGGTGACACAAAAATACAAATAAATTCATTAGAGATGTACAGTGGACTGGACAGTGCAAAGCGAGACTACGGGAGACTGGGTAAGCACTCACCCAGAACTCCACACTTCACATCTTAACACCAGACCTCAAGTGATGTATAGTTCGTTTACTTCTGCAGGCAAATGCAAGCTAGCTTTAAATCAACTAGCTCCACAGCCGAGCTCACGACTAAACGCAAGCTGAATAAATAGTTCTGAAAAGCTGGGAAGTAGTTATACATTCCTCCATGCTGAGCTCTGGGCAGCCATGACTGTTGCTCTAAATATCAGAGCTAGCTTGTTTAAAGCAAGAGTAAGATCGCCCACACAGTCTACAGTCATCCAGTTCGCTACTTAACACCAAGAAAGGGCACAGTTCACAGCCAATTACAGATGCAGATATCCTGATTGCTTTAAAAGAAGGGCAATGGAAAATGAGAAATACCAGCCTTAGATGGTGAAATCAGTAAACTTCAAATGGCATGCCTGGCTTTTCTCAAATTCTATATACAATGAGTGGCCACGCTTTACTTACTTATGTAGATATAAGCCCAGAATAAATATCGATTTCATTGTACTGAGAACAAAATTTAGTTTAGCTTTTCATTATTAACTTTTGCACTGTCATGAATGGGGTATGAGAAGTGAACAAAAATACTGGATTAACTGTCATAGTCTGATTTTAATTTTTTTTTAAATTAGTAATTATAGTTATCAGTTTCTCTTGCAAATCTACTTTTGAAAATGTGTCTGCATTATGCATTTTGACAGTGTCCCTTTAAGGCAAGGAATCAACTGCTCACTGTGGGCCTCTACCAAATAGTGTGTATGCATAACTGAAAACATAAAACTCTAAAAATTCTATTGAATATGGAAATTATTTATGTGTATGTTTGTAATACTTGGCTATATTTTATAAAATAAAGAAACAATTTTGCATTTTAGATTAGGAAATATAACATAACAGACAGGTCTTTATTGAAGATTAACTTAGTGTAAAGTTACGAATGTTGTACCATGAATAGAAGTGGTAATACTTGTAACAGGAAATTATTTATCTGATTTACAAAGAGACATTTTCATTACCTCAGAATATTCCAGATCTCATCAAACACCTTGTAATATTTTTTCTGATATCTGCATTTCATTTCTTGGAGTTACATATATGCATATTATCAGATTAACATTTTTATTATGATTTCACTGATAGATAAATGTGGGAAACGTAGGTTCTTTGTGTTCTTCGAATAATACATAGCTAGTGTGAAACTTACGTTATACTTAATTCCTGTGATGATGACCTAATTAAATCATATCTAAAACTTACCTTGGGTTTGAATGCAATCAGTTTCAAAACCATTTCAACAGTGAACACTCCTGTGAAAACCATATTCATAATGTCCATTGCATCATTAAAGAGCTTAGACTGTCCATAGTGCTGTGAATGAAAAATACAGTACTTTTAAAAGTAAAGGCTTTAAAATATTAAGCAAAAGTAAGGCAGCCTAAGACAAAGTTGGGAAAAATGCAGCACAGGAAAATATTTTCTAGTAGTATTTATGATGCATACCTATATACATACAAGACTAGCTGAATATCTCTGTCAAGAATGGAGTTCTTTAAATCTATTCTGTTTAGGCACTAAGTGGAACAAAACTATTATTCCTCTACATCCTAAGGCAATCTCCAGAGAGATGGTTTTAAGAAGAAAACTATTCCCTCAAAAAAGGAGTATTAGACAACAGCAATTTCCCAAGTTTTATATGCTAGGTTTTAAAATTACATAATCTTGTGCCACACCTGCTTAGAAAGCCTGCAGTATGTTAGTCACAGAATAACATATATTGTGTAGGAGTGATACTTTTAAGAGGATACAGTGCATGCAAGTTTACTGAAAAAAGTAGAATGGTTTTGTAAACTGGATTTGAACCATTCTTTTTCTTATCAAAATCTGAAGTACTAGGAGAAAGAAAGTGACAACTTGGAATAGTAGGTAAGAGAAGTAGCTGGTGAAGAACTGCATATATAATGTAGAAAAATCAGAATAAAAAAAATATATATACACACAAAAAACCCACACATGCAAAAATACACACAGGTATACACAGATATACAGCTAATATATGAGTGTGAGGTTTGCATTATCACACAAAACTAGAGTTGTTCCATATGTTAAGTTTTTAAACTTCTGAAGAAGATATAGACAGAGAGGATAGAAATATCACAGAATGCTTTGTGTTGGAAGGGACCTTTAAAGATCATCCAGTCCAATCCAACCAAATATGGAGTAGTGCATATACAAAATGAACACAGAACAAGAACAGAAACTATACAGAGGTGAAGTAATGCTTAAAGGCACTGCATAAAAGAATTTATTAGATAAAAGAATCTAAGGGGTTGAGAGAAACGTTTGCTAACAAAATTAGATTTTTATGGTCTCTTCAGATTTTCTCGCACATGGAATATCTTGGGAACACACACATATAATATAAATTAAATTACACTGCAGGTACAAAATAAAGCTCAAAGAGCTTGATTACGTTAGGAAGAACTTTATCAACATCAAACTGTTTTACACAATTTTACTTTAGAGAACTGATGAACAGATTAGAACACGTCACAGAGGAGTACTACAATCAGAGGTGGGTTTTTTTAAATTTCACTTCATAAAAAAAAATACAGGTTGCCATAAATGAAATGCATTATATCACCCATTCCTTCCCTGCAATTTATGCCAACAGCTTCAAAAGAGTTTCTGGTTTTCCTACCTGCATAGCCAAGCACAGCGTGTTCAGCATGATGAGGACAAACATGATGTATTCAAATCCAGTAGAATTCACCACATACCAGAACTTGTACTGGTAAGGATTTTTTGGAATATATCTACGAAGAGGACGTGCCTTCAAGGCATATTCTACACACTGACGCTGTAAAAGCAAATACATCAAAAATTGTCAGGCTATACCTAACAGTTAATCAACTAATAATATAATTAATAAGTGCAAATGGTTAAATGTAAGTCTTAAAAACAGGCAGTCTATCTACTTGATACAGGAGGTTTTATTATTAAGTGTTAATAAAGTAGTCAAGTAGCTTACTGATCCTTACTTGGTTATTTACAACTGTACCTAATCATATACACTACTCAGCCACATACAAAGGATCAAATCATGCTCATGGAAATCCTGAAGTGTTTCACCTTTATACAGTGTAGTAGTATACAGTAGTATACAGCAGACGATATGTATGTCTATGTATAGTATATAACATAACTATTAATAGCATGACTACTAATTCATCTATAAGTCATGCTTTGTCATTACTAAGTTTTCAACCACCAATGTAACTGCACGGCATAAACCCTAGAGTTGGCAAAATAAATACTGAGGAAGAGTTATTCCTAATAGTTCAGTTAAATTGCACAGCAAAATCATGTCACGTATGTAGGAACATCACGGATTCAACTCCTATTCTATTAGTGCCTGAAATCTTCACGTAGGCTGGGCCTTCCACTTGTCTTTTGAAGAATGCTTATAAAAGCTCACTGACAGGGCACAATATGCAGAATGAATGCTGGCTAAAGTTTCATGCTTAACTTTGTTTAAATGAAGTGTGTTACAGTTGGACAAGAGCACCTGAAAAATCATGACTGGTGACTGATGAGTTTCTCAGTTAAAGGATTAAACAGTAAAAGGGGACAGATTTTTTTATTTGAATCTGAATATCCCCTGTGAATTTCTAAATAAATGGGGGGGAGTAGAACATTTTGAACACTTTCAGACTATTCAGAACACAAAATTTATTTTCCTGTTCTTATTATAAAACCTCCCTCTGCCTGTGCATAAGCTGGCAAATGCTGTATTCTTAATGTGACACCAACAAGTGAGACACTAAGAAGCTAACAAGCTTAATGTAACACCTTTCACAACAAAAAGACTGGTATGTTGGGCTTACAGAAAGAGGAACATACAGTGACTTGAATACCAGTTGATAGTATGTACTAATTCCATTTTTTTACTAAGATACGTGTTTGGTGCCCTCTTCTGACCCAAAGCAGAAAGGAAGCTCTTCATCCATAAATAAAAAAGAATACTTTCAAAAGTTAAGAGTTCATTATTTATTTTAACCTGATTTTTGTCCAGCTCACAGTTCTTATACTCTTGTTCTCCCTGTTCTTGGAATGTAACAATCACAAAACCAACAAATATGTTCATCATAAAGAAAGCAATAATGATGATATAGATGATGAAAAAAATGGAGATCTCCACTCTATAGTTGTATACAGGTCCTACATTCTCGCCGTTTGAATCAATGGCTTTGTATAGCAGCCTGAAAAACAAACAAAATTTTATCTTTATTGGCATTAAAATGACAAAAGACAGTAAAATACGCAGACTCAGACAACAGATTTCAGAAACGGTCTGCTGTTTACTGTTATTTTTTTCTAGTTACTGACAGTGCTTACAAGCATATTGAAACCAGAAGAATCACACCAGAGTCTTATGCTTTTTTCCAAAAGAATCAAGGTAATGAGCAGATGATTGTATTCCCCCCCCCCTATAAGCTATCCTCTAAGACTTTTCTCATTTAGGGAAATAGTGAGTGGTAGTTTGCTCTTCCTGGGCCTCTCTATACAGTGTACTATTGCCTGATTTTGTAGTAAAAGTTTTACTCAAAGGAGTAAAATTTTCATATTAGTATTAAAGGGCATTGATGGATAAACAACTAAAAGGATTACTTCCATTACAGCTAAAGAATAGCTCATTATAGCAAAAGTAGCTGAAAGATTAGGAATCAAGCAATATAAAAAAGTTTGCCCTTTACAGATACATGTGAATGAAGAAATACAGAAAAAGTGCACAGATTTTCCTGTTTTTTCCTTCCTCTATGTATAAGTTTTAATACCATCACTTAAGACTGCTTTGTAGCCCAAAAATGACTGGTAAATGATAAAGAACTGTCCTGGAAAACGTAACCATCTTAACAATGCTGTGAGAACATGGAGAATTCACTCACGCTGGCCAGCCTTCAAAAGTGGATACTGTAAAAAGGGCCATCATAGCAGACAGGACGTTATCAAAGTTGAAATCACTATTTTGCCAGACCCTCTCTTTGACCATTGGATTATCAACATCTCCATCTTTATAAACAATGTATATCCCTCTGCGGGAAAGAAACAAACTGTCATTAGTGAAATATTAAATTAGCCTCAGAGTTACTCAATGCTCTATTCAAAATACTTTATTTTACTCCCTCCCTAAGCTTATTTCCTTGCTAACCTGTGTTTTCTGGTGGATTTAAAATTATAATTTCAATTTACACAAACCTAAATGGCCTGACACATGCCTGCCCATAAATAACTGCTACAGTTTAAATTATTCAAAATACAATGTGTCATTCTTAGATCAAAGATGTTCTCACCG